CTTTTAGTAGAAAATAGTATTTTTTGTTCTTTTAGAATTCTAGTAACAATGAGCAGTTTTGTAACTGTAGGATCTGTCTATAAACTAGTATGGTAACTTCTGTCCCAAAGACCCTTGGTAGGTGGAGGATGGGAAGAAGGAAAGGGTTGTTGTAGAGGGTCTTAAAAGGATTGTTCATAGAGGTCTCAGTTCACAGTTGGCTGGCTCCAAGGCAGGGTGGCCTGGCAGAGGCCTCTAGAGGAGAAACAGTTGATGGCAAGCAGAAAACAGCAAAGCGGTGACGCAGTGAAGCAGCAGCAGCAGACAAGCAGCCACCAAGAAGCAACCACCGCAGCCCTCCTCCTGTCCCTATGTCCGATTGAGGCTGAAGCCCTTCAGGTGGGCAGCACTCACCCCTGAGGTGGGCCTTCCCATTACTCACACCCAGACCTATGCCCGACCAATCAGTGGACTAATTTAGCAACCAACACCCTTGACTCCAGCATCACACTCTCTAGATCCAGCCACCTATGCAAAGCCCCACCTATGACCAAATGAGCCTTTGGTGCGACATCTAGACACAAGCCTTAACACCTAGTTATTAAACTACCCTCAACAGCACTTTCAATGAACGTTAATTTAATTTAAGAAGTTAGTTTCATTTCTACATAGTCAAAATGATTATTGTACAACAGAGATTTCCTTTTAATAATTTATATATTCCATATAAATAAAAATATACACAAAACAAGGAAATATTATTTACATATTTTAAACTGATAATCACAAACCACAATTATTGAAATGCATTTAGTTTTTTGGGTTTTTTTTTCCCCGGTACCGGAAATTAAACTCACGACCTCGTGCCTGCCAGGCAGGCGCTGTGCCGCTGAGCTAAGTCCCCAGCCCCTTGAAATGCATTTAGTATTGTGAGAATTTAAGAACAGCATCCTGAGCATCTGATCATGTATCACATTTCGGTCTATCTTGGTTAAGATCATTTGGTAACATTTGCATATCAAATACATACTGAATATATCTATAGATTTCCTCAGCTTTTTGATGAGTTACTTGGGCATACATGGAGATTTCTGCAGGTGAGCTGGAAAATAAATTACAGAGAAAAACATTAAAAACTTTGGCTTTTATAAAATTTAATATTCTTATCTCACCTAAAGAACACCAATCTTCAAAAATAGTGATTTCAATATCTGCAATGCACTAAATATTTGTGTCTCGCTACAATTCATACGTTGGAACCCCAGTTCCCCTGTGTTGGTGCTATGGTTTGAACATGGTTTGTGTCCCCCTCAGAAAGGTTCATGTGTAGGGAACTTGGACCCCAAAGTGGCAGTATGAGAAGACGTGTGGATCTTTAAGAGGTGGGGGTCTACTCTTCAGGTTATCAGAGCTAGTGCTGTCCGTGTAAGGGATTATGGCACCCAGTCTCTCTGGGCCTGGCTCAAGATGTGCTAAGTTGCTCCTGCATGTGCTCCCACCACTGCTATCTACTCCATGAGGTTACGCAGCCAAGGGCAGCCCTCACCACAGACCTGGCTTCAGTCCCCAACACTGCAAGGAAAAAAAGCTAGTAAAATTCTGAACTTGAATATTTTTCTAGTTAGAGAACTGAATGGCCCAGAAATGTTAGCATGCAAGGTCAAGTGTAAACATTATTTATTGTCTGTCTCCCCATAGAGCTCTAAACTCCTAACAGCAATAGCTATGCCATTTTTCTTTTATCATATTTTCCCATTATTTTCCTCAGCTTCACACAGTAACTGATGTTGGCAGTCAAAAGAAACTTTACAGAATAAAATACAGCAGTCTCCATGCTTTTTTTTGAAAATATTCAAATTCTACAAAATGCCAAGAATCATTGAAAAGCAATCATTTTAAAATATTACTAAAAATAGACATCTTTTTTGAAAATCTTTTTTTATATTTTTCATGTTTAGAGTTTGTGTTGTTATTTTGGGTTTTTTTCCTCTTTAAAATATAAATAAATAAAATAGACATACCTGTTAGCCATCTTTTTCACAGATGAAAACTGATGATACATGTTTAATGCAGTTATATAACTTATATTGGGAATACTTAAATAAAACTGAAGTGCCTCGGATTTACTGCTATTCACCACTGTTGGGACACGAATACCAACATTCTTTCTTTGTTCCACTAAAGAGAGTTCCTTTAGCAAATCTGCAGTTTCTTCTTGGCAGGAACTGAACAGAATTCGGATTCCAGCACCAATTAAGGTGGTCAGCAGACTGTCATAGCTTTTTGTTCTCCTGAACATTCTTGATGTGTCTCCTAAATATTTCACATTTAAGAAAATACAAATTTTAGTAACTAATATTAAATAGGTTCATTAAGACATATTACTAAAAGCCTAAAACCTACACCACTGAGCAAACGATTGCCACTTGCTACTAATGAGAAGCCTCATGACTAAAGTTTTACAGTGATTCTCATACCTGAGAGACAAAATAGGGAGAATGGTCTTCATAAGTGTCTTAACCTGAAGTCAACATATAAAGATGAACGGTAAGGGACAGTTTAGATGCCTGATGACAAACACTATTATTCACCTAATTTTTCATGTTAGCGTTCATAAAATGAGAAAAGGAAACTGGGTCACTGAAAAAGTGACTTATTCAAGGTTGCATGGTTTACCCGTGACAGCATGGGGGATGTAAAGTTGCATAATTCCCAAACAAATGTTTCACATAAACTATATTTCCTTTTATATGTAACTCTTCAATTTTTCCAGTGGCTTTCATCTACGTGATTTTACTTAACCCTCATAATAACTAAGACAAGTATAACACGTATATTATCAATACTTAGTATACTTGTTCACACAGGAGTGATTTGTCAATGCAGCATTACTTAGCTACAGAAAAACCAGAGATGAATCCATATACCATGATTTTTTCAATGATCTCTGGGACTCGCCATTAAATAATTACCATGCAAATTCCTTAACTATAACACATTTCCAAATACATCCTAGATGCCCATTTCAAACTCAAAAATCTTCACGTTTAAAATTGAGCTTCCCTTGTGCTTCAAACCTGCTATTTCTTTTATACTTATAATTTCAATAACTAGCACCATTACCTAACCTCCCTGTCACCAAAAAGCTGGTCAGTTAGGGGTTAATTCTCAGCTCCCACCAAGTAATGCAAATCCTGATTCCCAAATGCCTCCCAAATCCTCCTCTTCCCCACTATCCTTTCTGGGATTCCTGAAAAGGTCTTCTGATTAATTTACTAGGCATCCAACTTGGGACTCCTTCTGTCTCTCAGACAGAAGCTTTCTTTCCACCAGTGTACTCTGCCCTTAGCCTCCACTGTTCCTAAAATTCATTCTTCAATTTTAGAGAACATGAACTTGTATAAGACAAGAACTTGTACCAGACATCTACCAGGTTGGGAGATCCTTTCCCCTGTATCACTTGGAGATCTTCCACCAAGATCATTAGACAAGAGTTTGCTTTTGTTTCACAGACTCTGGATTGGGACTCATTTAGATAACAAATCTTTATGCTTCAAATTTTGTTATGTCTTTGCCCACTGCTTGTAACTGCTTATGCTTTATCTCATATAGTTTTATTAAAATGATGACAAAGCTAAGTTAAAACATGGAATTGTTTGTTATAAGGTTATGATAATAGGACATTTTTACTCCTGTTTTGTTCTTGTATATGTTACACTTGAACTAGTTACTAAATTTACTGGTATTCCTTACTTGACTCTATTTAAGACATAGTGCTACAGAGAGTAACGTTAGAACACCTGCTAGTGGACTTTAATACAAACTTCTGTAAAATGGGTCTTTTTAAGTAAAATCTAGCTGACTTAGAAAATATACATGCCCATATAATAAAACACAGGATTCCTTCCTCCAGTTATAAAATGCTAGATTGGTGGCCATTCTTAAGACTTGGAGGACAGATTTCAGTGGGACAGACTGCCTGTGACCCTCCTCTGCACTCTAGAGGAAATGCCAACCCTGTTCTGCTTAAGCTTCCTTCCTCTGGCCTTACTCCTAATCTTTCCTACTACTTTGTTCTTTCCTTTCTAGAGGCATGTGAAACTAGAAAGAAAATAACTCTGCACCATTCCAAACTTTTCCTCCTACTCAACAACTAAGTTAAACCCGTAGAAAAAGCATTTGCTAACTCTGAAGACAGGAAAGTCATCTTAAAGGAAGGGCACATTTCCCATCTCTGCATCAGATGAGACATCAGAATTTTGTCCAGGAGAACACACATAAAAGCCATGTCCTGGCTTGGTGTTCTTGGCAAGTTTCCCTTGTAGGCTGAACCTGAGACACGGTGGAAAGAACTGACTTCTGGGGAAAACCAGAAGGAACTATTTCCAAAACACCACACTTATGGGACCAAAATACATTTAGCTTAAGGGAGAATTTCCAACCTTTCCTTTTCCCCTCCTACGTCTAGTTATCATTTATGTATAGAGTAAAAAATACTTTGATAATAAATTGTGGACTTTAAAACCTTTACTGTAAACTTATAAAGCACTAAGTAATGATGTTGCTCAGGCTTTTACCTATCCCTTATAGAACTTTGACAAACAGCAGTTACTCTACCAGCTAGTTACTCTTAGAGCAGCTGCCATTCTTAAAGCGGAGGACAGATTTCCCCAGCATCTCCTTGGTGAATCTTCATTGAAGCCAACAGCCAATGGAATGTTGACCAGACAGACAGCTGGCTCCGTTTCTGGAGACTGATCTCTGGTTGTGTGGGTCAATAGAGAGTGAGAACAACTGAGGGGTCATGGCCAGGGTTGCCGTCTGGCAGATACCCAGAGGTTCCTCAGTGGAAACTGGCTCCCAACCACAGAGAAATCTCCACTTAGCTATCATACTTACCTCTCTCTGCTAATAAACTACAAATTCTCCTTAAGCTTTTCAGTAGACTTTAAAACCACTTAGATTACCCTTCCCTTCCAAAATCTGGCTGAGGAAGCTTGCCACAACTGTTTACATTTCACAGCAGCTAGTAGGGAAGTGTTACATTTATTCCTTAGTTATGCTAAAGAGTAAGAAAGAGATTTTAGTCAGACTTTTCTTTCATGGGTGTGCAGAAAACTAATGTGCCTTTACTAACATGTAAAATGAGATTGCCAGATGATAAATGTAAATTTAACCTGTGAGCTTCAAAGATATAAAAATTTAAATAAAGCACAGCCTGTCCTGCTGCTAAGTAAGACTGCCTACGTGAGTAGATAGATGTCACAAGTGTCTTAGCGACTTCTTTGCCCTACAGCCCAGGGCAAAATTCCTCAAGTCAGTTGTTGCTTTTATCTATCTCCAGAGGTGTTCTCCTTCACAGCACAGCCTGTGAAGTGCTCTACTTCCAACTCACCTTTTTATGTATGCCCTCTTCCAAAAACAATAGTTTATTACAAAGTTATGCTTTCCTTCTTTAAACATTACTGTCACAATTAATACCAATTGTAACTTGTGCTTATGTGTCCTACAGGAGTTAAGTTCACAAGCTCCCTGGGAAAACAAAACTACACACCAGTCTGAGGGTGGATAGGCTGGTCGAATTTTGTCTTCTGCTCTCTCCAGATGGCACCCACCTGTCCTGGAGTGGAATCTACTCAAGGGATGCCTTGAGGGTATCAAAGTCAACTAGAAATCAAACGGGGATGCCCAAATTATTTCTTCTTGTATTTTAGACATGGAGAGCTCAAAGTGGAAGTCTCTTACTCCTTCAGGATACATTCTTAAGCACTGGAAGATGTTTGACCCTTATGTGTTGAAAAAGAGATATCTGATATTTTTCTGCAGATGCACAAAGCCTGCCAACCCTCTAGACTCAAAATGCAATGCAAAGGGAAGTATTAATTATGATGTTCTTTTACAACTAAAATCATACTGTAAAAGAGGGAAAATGGTCAGAATTACCCTATGTTCAAACTTTCTTTACATTAATAATTCTTATTTAAACTCAAAGTGTAATTATAATCCATGTAAGACCACCCATGTTCATGCTCATACGTCTCTTTCTCTCAGTGGCTTAAAGCAGACCAAGCTAGATTTAGAAAATTTTCAGATGACCCCAAAAGGTACACTGATGTCTTTAGAAGATTTACTCAGACCTATAACCTAGGACAGAAAGATATAGTGTTAGTCTCATTAATTCACTAACCTGTTTCTCACCCTTTAAATCTCCTTAGCTTATTTAAATACAAGGCTGATGAAAAACACAATGGCACTAAAATGTAAAGTGATGTAAACATTCATACTGTAAGTTTCCCACCTCTGACAGTAAAAGAATGAAGTTAATAGTCACATTTCTTCACCGCCTTACAAAAGGACATTTTCAAGTACAAACCTGTTTTTTCTCTCTCTTTTTCCACAATCACACAGATTCTCTCAAACATGCTCTGCAGGTGCTGGATCTGTTCAATGAGCTTGCTCTTATTTGCAGCGTTTGCCATCTCAGACTGAGACCTCCTTTCCACCACCATGCGGTTACTCACAATGTAGCCTCCACCGTTAAGAGAACAGACCTCCACATGGAACCCATGCACTGCTCTTAGGGAAGAAATGACTTCAAAACCAGAAGTTATTTCACTACTATCTACAAGAATACAGGTTCTTTTTTCTTCCTGTGCAAATCCAAGAGACGTATCCAGCTCTGCCAAGTGGGGTGCTGAATTGGAACAGTGTGACCCTGAAGTACAAGGGTCCTCCAGAGCATAACCCACCTGAAAGAACAGAAAATACTGATCACCATCTGGTCAAATATACATTAGTACCCAGAACTCCTCAGACCTCATGCTGATTCTCCTTGCTGATAATATTTAGTTTCTTTTCTTTTTACTTCAGCACAACCAATGTGACTAAAGAAACAAGCCAACATTCTTACAACTCAAAATATATTACAAAGCTACAACTAAACAAAAGCTAAGGGGGAAAAAAGAGCTAAGAGTAGAATATGTGATCAAATGCCTTCAATGGAAAATTGAATCTCCTAAATAACATGGGGTATTTATTTTGCAGGGCAGGGTATCAAACCCAGGCACTTGTGCATGCTAGGCAAGCACTCTACCACTGAACAATTCTCCCCAGCCCCTAAACAACATGTCTTTAAAAATAGTTTGAGCTGCATGTGGGAGCCCACTTTTATAATTCCAGCACTCTGAAGCTGAGACAGGAGTATCAGGAGTTCAATGCTGGCCCAAGCGACACAGGGAGTTGAACTATACGTTGAGACACTGTCTCAAAAAAAGAAAAATAGTATTTTGAGGCTGGCGGTAAGGGTTCAGTGGTAAAACACTTGCCAAGAATCTGCAGGGCCCTCAATTCAATCCCCAGCACTGAAAAACAAACAAAATTGAAAATCCTGGAAATTAAGCCAGAACAAACCCAGATTCCCTTAGCAAATTATCTGCCAAATCCTGTTGACCACGAGTTCTTTTCACAGAGGCACAATCCCTGGGTAACATGCACAGTGCCTGTTATGCTTGATACACTGTGTCAACTTGAAGAGTCTAGAGGTTTGGCTAAGTGACTCAGCAGAAAGTCGGGGTGCTTACTTTGTATACATCCTGAGCCTGTGGAAGAGGAGCGCATGGACATTATGTGAGAGCTACATGCCCCTTAGGTGGGGGTAGCCTGTTTACAATGTAAGGGATGGAAAGAGGCTGCTTGCCGCCATTCCCCCCTTTGCTCTTGTTGATTTGTTATCTTCTGCCTCGGAGCCAGCCAAGTATGGACTGAAACCCCAACAAACTGTAAGCTAAATAAACCTTTCCTTCCTTAATTTTGGGCATTAGGTACTTTGTCTCAGCAATGAAAGAAAAGTAACCAAGACAATGCCAGATGTTCAAATGCTCAAAAAAAGTTAAAATATTTCACTATAAGTGCAAAAAAAAGAAGAAAGCAAAACGGTCAATCTTGATATCAGTAAGTGGGGGAAATTCTCTCAGAACAAAGTAGTCCTCCGGCCCGTGAATCTGTCACCAAAATATGTATACACAGTAACCACACAGTCCACAAAAACCTCAAGAAAAATTTAAAAAGCCTCAGGAAAAAGGGTATTTATCAGTCACATGGGCAAATCGAGCTGGACAGGAATTGTATGAAAACTAGAACTATGAAAACATTGCTGGAATAAAAATATGGACCTGAAACTACAGAAACACCAATTCTCACTGGATGGATCACACTCCCACTGATGAGGCTCTGCATGAGAAGTACTTCTTGCACACTGCTGCTAGAAGGAAAAGAGCGTGAACCCCCCATGGAGATGGCAGCAGTATGTGGCACCATCGCATCTGCATTTGCCTTTTGGGGAAACTCCACTCCAAAGAAGCCACCCCACAGCTTCTCTGGCAAAACATGAGAAGAAACGTGCATGGCTATTTGTTATATGAGTATTTCTAACGGTAAAAGATTAAGTCACATGGAGGTGTACCGCCCTTAATTCTTCATACTGGGAAGCTGAGGCAGGAGAATCAGAAGTTTAAAAGCTCTCAGCCTGGGTAACTTAGTGAGATAAGACCCTGCCTCAAAATAAAAAATTAAAAAGGGGATATAGCTCAGTGGTAGAGCGCCATTAGGTTCAATCCACAGTACCACAAAAACAAACAACTGCTGGGGAATGCTAGTAAACAAACTTATTGTTTTAAAACTGATACAGAGAAAAAATATAGTACTGAACCTGCTTTTCTTATTCAAACTGTATTACCGGATAACCAAAGAAAGATTCACATTACTGAGGTGAGCAATAAAAAGCAGACCCTTCAAAGTTACAGGCCAAAAAGACTACAAAAGAATACAACAAATAACAACTATATGCCAACAAGTTGCATAACCTAAATGATACGGACAAATTCACAGAAATTCATGGAACTGGCTGAAAAACAGAAATTCTGACTAGATCTATAAAAAAGTAAGGTGAGATTAGATTAGTAATCAAAAACCTCTCAACAAAGAACAAGCAAGGAGCAAAGGACTTCATTAAAATTGATTCTTCACTCAAAGAAGAATCAATACCAATGGTTTCCAAATCATTTGAAGAGAGGCTCTCTTAACTCATTCTATGAAGTTAGTAATAAGAGTAAAAGACACTCTGCAACTACAACCAATATCACATGTGGAAATAATACAAAACAGAAAATCAAATTTAGCAGCTTTCAAAAGTTTGTATCAATCAATCATCACATTAAGACAATGAAGAAAACACGCACACACGTGCACGTGCACACACACACACACACAATCATCACAACGGATGTGGAAAAGCATGTTTCAAGATCTACAATCCTTTCATGACAAGGAAAACTAAGAGCACAACAACATAACTAAAGCCACACAAAGAAAGCTTGTGGCTAGCATCATACAGCTTTTGTCCTATGGCTACAAGACAAGGACGCCCACTCTAGACCTTTCTATTGAACACACAACTGGAAGTTTTACCCAGAGAAATTAAGCAAACACCGCAAAGAAACTAAGAACAAAGCCAGAGAAATAAAGAATACAAAACACATCCAAAAATTGGAAAGCAACAAGTAAACTATCTCAACGACAGGTAACATGTGTAGAAAACTCTAAAGAATTCACACTAAAAATTTAAACTGGGAGTGGTGGCACATGCCTGTAACCCTAGCACTCAGGAGGCTGAGGCAGGAGGATCCCTGCAAGTTCGAGGCCAGCGTGGGCTACAAAGTGAGCTCAAGGCCAGCCTGAACTGCATAGCAAGACCGTTTCTCAAAAAGATTTAAAAAAAACTTAGAGCTAATAAATTCAGCAAATTTGCAAGATAACAAAATCAATACACAAGAATTAATTCTAAATCTATACACTAGCAACAAATAATCCAGAAGGAAATGAAGAAAATAATCCTATATGCTATAGCATCAAAAAGGATAAAGTATTTAGGAATAAACTTAACCAAGGAGAGGTAAGACCTAAGCACTAAAACTACACAACACTGGTAAAAGAAATTAAACTCTGAAAAAAATTGTCCTTGTATTTGCAACTTTAGGAGTTGTTTAAAAAACTCTCATGTTAGCAGCTCACTGCCTTCTGCAGCTCACTAAGTGTTAGCTACATTCTTACGTCTAGATGTTGAAATCGCCCCAAATCAGCCAAGTCTCTCACTGGAGATGTCCTTCTTTCCTTAGATAACAGTTTGGCTTCCCTACAAAGTCGGCTCTGTAATAACTTCCAGAAAATTTATGATTCTGTGTATTACCTGACTTCTTCTTGTAAGGATGGGAGCAACATTCTTTTCAACTCTGTGTATTCAAAACTAAGATGGACATCCTAATGACTCTGAAATACTATTTAAAATAAGTTTACTACTTAATTTCAAAAAGCATGAAAGAATACATAAATGAAGTAGCCATGGAAGAACTAGAAAATATGGGAAGCTCTTAAGTCGTCTTAGAGTAGAGTGTGCCTTTCTAAACATAACACTGAAGTCAGGAAGGACAATGTAAGAAATGTTTACGCTCATAGTGCTTGCTTGTTTTCAAAGTATTTCGCACACATTACTTAATCCCATTACTGTCTTTATACTACAGATGAAACACTGAACCTCAAAGAATTATGTTTTCTGTTCTCTAGCCTGCTATAAAGAGTCAATCCAGTCAGTATTCCCCTAGCATGTCTTCAAGAAATAACTGCAAACAAAGCCAGGGGACAATGTGAAACAGAAAACATCCATTTTTAGGCCCACTGTGTGGACATGGAGGGTCATGCCGCTAAGGCAGACTGCAGCACAGCATCCTGGGAGGAAGCAGAGCAGAATGCTAGCTACTGGGTGATAGGCTGGAGGATGCTGGTCAAATGACAGAAAATTTCAATCACCTAGAAGGAACAAATTCAGAGATCTATTGTATAACATAGGGACTCTACTCAATAACAATGTATTGTATTCTAAAAAAAAATCACCAACAACCAGGCATGGTAATCCCACATTTATAATGCCAGCACTTGAGAGGCTGAGGCAGGAGGATCACTGTGATTTTGAGGCCAGCCTAGGATATCTAAGTGAGTTCAAGGCCAGCCTGCACTACATAATAAGACCCTGTCTCAAAAAAAGAAAAAAAATCAATCACTGAGAGTATATTTAAAGTGTTTTCAGTATAAAAAATAAGTAGTAAGGTCTTCCATATGTTAATTAGCCATTCCACAATGTACATTTTTTGAAACATTATGTTGTATACAATTTTTGTCAATTAAAAGATAATTTTTTTAAGAAGTCTATGTTCAATCTCACTCTTAGATGATAATCACAGAACTGAATCGTTACTTACAGCTGGATGCTTATTACAGTATGTCCCCAACTTACCAGCACCGGAGTTGTGAACTTTCACAGATACGAACAGGCAGCCCATTGGGTTTTTATGCTTTACACTGTATATCTGTGTCAAAGGTTTTGGTCTTATAAACAAATCTGATTTTGAACGAGTTAGTCGGGGACTGACCATACAGCAAATTTAACACTTATTTAGCAAACGTGCTATAACTATAAACTCGTACAAACTGAAAATGGCTTTCATGATTCTTTTAGTAATCACAAGATAGAAAAAAGGTGAAACTGACTACTTGGCAACAATCTGAAAGAAACAAAGGAAGGAAACTATGTACTGTTCTTATGTCCCTTTCCCAATAAAAAACAGAGTTCCATACCCGAAATATTTTGGGGGGAAAAAAGTGTATTTGGGCACTAGTTCTTTGCATATAATTTTTATTAATTTCATCTTGCAGGAAGCACTACTTTCCTACATTCTTTTGATAAAATTATTATGCTTCCTGACAGAATGACAGAAAACTATGAATGCATTTAAAAATTAAAACCTAGGGGCTGGGGATTTAGCTCAGTGGCAAAAGCGCCCGCCTGGCAAGCACAAGGTCGTGAGTTCGGTTCCCGGTACCGGAGAAAAACCAAAAAAAAAAAAATTAAAACCTAAACATCCTATGAACTGCCTATAATTTAGTGTATCATTTTCTTATTTGAAGGAAACTATTTTTTTTTGATGCAGAATCTCGCTGTGGAACGCAGCTGGCCTTAAGCCTCTCACCTCAGCTTCCCCAGAGGTGGGATTACAGCCGGTACCACCATGCTCAGCTTGAAGAAATTTTCTTCACATTGTTTTGCTCAGTTTTCTTTCACCGCACTATTTCATATACCCTCACGCCCCAAAAGCACACATACACACCAAACAAAGCTCCCAAGATCCCTTCTCCCACGGCAAGACCCTTCTGTCAAGCTTATGAAGGTTTTCTCCTTACATTCAGCCATACCTTCCACTGAACTGGGAACTGTCTGCGTTCTTTCTGTGACCCAACAGCAATACACGGTGACGAGGCTGATGTGGTTTCATTACGGCCCTGAGGTTCGATGCCCAAGACTCCAGAAACCGTACCCTCTACACACAGCGGCGTCTGCTGCCTCTGGTTTGCTGACTGACTTACCCCAGGATTAGAAACGACCTTCAGCTGCACTGCGGACTCAGCAGGCTTTAAATCCAAAGGATCCTCCTGGCAACCGCTCTTGTCAACAGCGCTTGAGCGAACCACAACGTGCGAATCTCTCTTGTCGTTTACACTGTTCTCCTCCTCACTGGAATCATTTGGTAGAACGACTCTGGACAACTTCTTTTTGGAACGCGCACAATTCTGCTTCACCTTCATCTGCTTTAGCATTACTGCATGGCGGGTTGGGTACTTTTTTCTCCCACTCGAAAGACACTCTTCAGTGATTAAGTTAAAATCAACACAAACTTCTTCTTCACTTGATTGGCTTTTGCAAGACTCCTCTTCATCAACACAGAAACTGTCCTCTATGTAGGTTTCATCTTGTTCAGGGATCTGTAATGAAAACACAAGTCTCTGACATGCCTTTCACACATTCAGCAGGTACCGCAGATATGTGTATGTATATGCATTTTAAGCATTAATACCTATTTAACCCTCTTTAAGTCAGCCATTTTTCCACTAACATATACTAAGTACATTCTTTATGGAGGAAAGTTGGTAACTGAGAGGTAGAAAATGATTTACACTACAGAATTTTACAGCCTGGTAAGGCACCCAGAAAAGTAAACCAGAATAAACAGTTATGATGAGTCCTATTTAATAAGTACAATGTGGGCTGGGGATTTAGCTCAGCGGCAAAAGCGCCTGCCTGGCAGGTGCAAGGTCGTGAGTTCGGTTCCTGGTACCGGAGAAAAACCAAAAAAACAAACAAACAAAATAAGTACAATGTAAGTACAGACATATGAATGACATTTATCAAGCCAAACATGGTGAGTATAGGAATATAAGAAATATTCATAAATGAAAAATAATCTGCAATATTTAGATATAACATTTTTAGGAAAAAATTAAGAGAACTATGGACATGTATGAGAATTAAAAACCTAATTCATACATGGTGAAATTCAATTCTCTAAAACAGTCCCCTAACTGGAAGTTTTTACTCTATTAGTTTAAATTAAAGAAAAGAGAACTTGATCAAACTAGGTCTAAAAGGGGTCTTGAAAATTCATTTAGTTCACCTCCCGAACAGAGCAGAAATTTGCCCAGATAGCTGCTGGCTCAGGTTTCTGTTCTATGTGGTTTTTTTGTGGGTTTTTTTTTTTTTTTTTTTTGGTACAGGGAATCGAACTCAGGACCTTGCATTTGCCAGGCAGGTGCTACATCCCTGAGCTACATCCCTAGCCCAATGGCTCAGTTTTAGAAACAAAACGGAAGCTTCGTTACCAAGAACACATTCTAATACCACCCTGAGGAAATTATTATTCATTCTGTAAGTTCATACCTGTGAGAAAACGTTCATGTTGTTACATTTCTTCTGGAGTATTCTGTACTTATTGTTCATCAACGGACTGCGCAAAGATTTCATGTAAATAGCTCTCATTTCCGAATCTGTGTAAAGACACAATTTAAGTTAACAAGATTTAAAGGAAAACTAGCAAAGTAACTTTGTCCTATTCCAAATTTGCATTCAAGAATTTTAAAAAATCTTATATAAAAGACATTAACATATATTGAAAGATCATCTAAAACTGATGATTCAAAAATACAAAGTAAGCCAGGCCTGGTGGCACACACCTGTAATCCCAGCACTCGGGAGGCTGAGGCAGGAGGATCATTGCAAGTTTGAGGCCAGCCTGGGCTACAAAGTGAGCTCAAGGGCAGCCTGAACTGCACAGCGAGACCCTGTCTCAAGAAGACAAAAAAAAAAAAGAAAATGCAAAATAAGCCATGAGTAGTGGTGCACACCTGTAATCCCAGCTAACTGTGAGGCTGAGGCAGGAGGACTGCTCAAGTTTGGAGCCAGCCTGAGCACTTTAGTAAATGAGACCCTGTTTCAAAATTAAATAATAACAACAGTAATAATAATAATGAGGAGGAGGAAGAAGAGAAATGATACCTGAAAATAAAAGATAATCTTAATTTGAAATTACTTTTTAAAAAGAAACGCTTTAGAATCATGCCTATTTCCAATAAACTGTTAAAAATGAAGATTTAGATCTCTCTCCATCCAAACTGCTCCGTCTGCAGCCTGCTCAGTGTCAAATCATAGACACTAGTCATCCTGTTGCTCTAATCCGTGGGTTCCTTTCTGTCTAATCCACCAGAGTCCTGTCAGCTCCTCCTACCCAGATCCACTCCTTCTCATCCTCTTCAGCAGTATCTTCGCAGAAGCCTCTATTCCCCTTTGACTGGGTCACTGCAATTGCCTCCTACCTGCTCTGCTACTCTCGCCACCCTGTAGGCCATTCTCAATGCAGAAGCCAGAGAGGACACTCACATGTCAGCGCGGCATCTGGCCGCATACTACCTTTGATCTCACTTCCTGCTACTTCCTTTCTCCCTTATTCTAGTCACAATGCTATGGTGCACAGGCTGGGAATACTCCTGCCGTCCTACTGTAAACCTGCAAAAGTCCCTTCCGTTAAGGGCATAAAATCTTATTAGTAGCAAGGATATATAGTACTAATAACTTAGGCCTTAAACTTTTTTTGCTTTAAATTCACAGACATTTGGAAACTTTGTTGTTTTAAATCATTACCAGAGACTGCCAGAGCACAGCTCAAGGCAAGATCTATGAAAGACCAGAATACTGACAAATCAATCAGAACACTCCACACTTCTTTCACAGCCTATCAGAACCATCTGCTCTCTGGGTGTGCTTTACAACACCTGCTCAAGCACTGCTTGAAGATATTATTTTCCAAAAGTAACGTCCCTTGCGTGGCAAAGACTGTACGATCTCCATCCACCTGAATGTAAGCCTCATAGGAAAAGCTTTTTGTCCCCTTTTTCCATTGGAGTATTTTTCTCAAGTGCCTTACATTCAAAGCACAAGCCGGGCGTGGTGGCGCACACCTGTAATCCCAGCACTCGGGAGGCTGAGGCAGGAGGATCGTTGAGAGTTCGAGACCAGCCTGGGCTACAAAGTGAGCTCAAGGCCAGCCTGAACTGCATAGAGAGACCCTGTCTCAAAAAAGATGACAAAAAAAATAAAATAAAACAAAAACCATTACAAAGCACAGAGCAGGCATAAATATTTGTGGAATGACATTTGATACCTGAGCCACGCCAGTCAATCAGGAAAGAATTATTCAAATAAGCAGAAGCCCATAAATAACCAATTCTAAAACAAAGCAAGCATCATAGAATTTGAACAGAAATTATGAAGTAAATATTTTTGTACACACCAAATATAATTCCCTTTAAATCTAGTTTCTTGGAAAACTGCTTAGTTTTTAAACATGAGCACACTGCAAACACTGGGAAGACTTTTAGAAAGTGTCACAGTATTTACCATTTACAGCCTGTGAACACTGAGTTTCATCATTTAAGAACTCCAACATCGAGGAATCTTGTTCATTTTCTGAGTCATCCTTTTCATCTGATGAAATGCACCTTCCATCTTCTTCAGAAAGTTCTGCTTCATCATCCAGAAACATCCTAGCGATATGCTAAGACAAATTAGAGAACATGAAGACACCCTTGAGAAGATAATTTTTCTTCAAGATTCTAATTCTGGATAAATGGTATTAAGTTACTTTTTTAAAAAAAAATAAGTTACTTTTAAAATTTTTAATTGAAACGGAATTATACATTATGGGATTACAGGGTGACATTTGAACACATGCGCACCACGTGTAATGAATGGATCAGGGCAACCAATATGGCCATCATCTACTGCTAATTTTTTTTCTTTTGAGACAGGGTCTCACCATTTAGTTCAGGCTGGCCTGGACACTATGTAACTCAGGGTGGCTTCAAACTTGCGGCGATCCTCCTGCCTCAGTCTCCCAAGTGCTAGGATTACAGGCATGCACCACCACACCTGGCAATCCATCACCTAAACATTTAGCATTTCTTTATGCTGTGAATATTCAAAACCCTCTCTACTAGCCATTTTGAAATACACAAGTGTCAACCAATTATCTCTTGTACTACAGAAGTTATTCCTCTTAGGAAAATGGATTTCTTGTCAATGCCATTTTTTCCCCCTAATACTAGGGATTGCAGCCTTGTACCTTCACAGTGAGCTACATCCCCAGACCCCTATTTTAAAATCACTGTACTTATCTGGGGAAAGGTTCACTAAACTGCTATATTGCCAAAGCTGGACTCAAATTAACAATCATCTTGCCTCAGCCTCCCAAAGTGTTGGGATTACAGGTGCACACCACCAGGCCTAGCTCTGTTAATGCTTTAAAGAAAAAGAAAATACACAAGAAGAAATGATGAAGTAATATGTCTATTTAAAATTACTACTGATAGGGTCACTGTGAGTTCAAGGCCAGCCTGAACTACATAGTGAAACCCTGTCTCAATAAGATAGATAGATAGTTAGATAGACAGACAGACAGACAGATAGAATAACTCCTGATAAATTTATAGCAAAATAATGTCCAAGTCATCATGTCAGTTTGCTGCAAGTTTGTAATAAAAAGTTTCCTGAGTCTTCCAGCTAATTAGCTTTTTGCCAGGAAAAACACCACAAACCAAAATGACTGACCAGAGAAAAAGATGCTAAGAACTTTTTTCAAATATTTGAATATTGGACACTGATCTGGAAAATAAGACTATAAAAGCAAGTATCTAAAATCTCAGATTTCTATATCTACATTTTCTTCAATTTGAACAATAAATTTTCCATGCACTTCATTTACTCATTCAAGATAACACAACACTGCAAAAAAAAGTATCAAACCACAAAGAGAATGCCAGGCATGGAGGCGCATGTCTGTACTCCCAGCTCTTGGGAAGCTGACCCAGGAGGATCACTGTAAGTTCTAGGCCAGCATGGGCTACATAATGAGTTCAAAGCTAGCCTAAACTACACGGAGACCCTGTCTCAAAAAAACACATGAAGAAAAATATCACATTTTGAGATTTTAGTTCCAGTAAGAAAAAAAATCAAAATTGGTACCAAAACACTTTTTTCAAAATTGTGGTATTCTGCTAATAAAAAATGCATAAACAAATATACTTTGATGTAAAAACTAATATATAATATATATTCATATATACATGGAAAATTAAAGAGATAAAGTTTACCTTTTGGTGACTATTTTGGACTTTGATGCCTCTTCTAGCATTCTTATTACAATTCTTAAATTCTTCTAATTGTGGATACGGTCTGTTAAAATTCTCACTCTCATCACTGGATGATAATTCAGACTAAAAAAATTCAATAAAATTCTTGCATAAGAAAAAATAGTTGGGTTATTTTACTAGAGTGTACTTGTCAACGTTGTTCCTTTTATTTTTACTTTTTCTTTTTAAATATTTGGTTTAATATTCTCTTACAAAAATAAAATCACTCTCATAATTCAGATCCATATACAATATTTACAAATTTAAAAACCAGTAAGTTAGGTAATTCTGAATGCTTAAATGCCAAATTCAGTTAACATAAATATTCATTCAATTTAGTTTTATATTAAATATATTTGATAACATATTTTTAATTTAATAGTGCTAAAGCAACTTTTCTAGTGAAATTTCATAACTATTTGAAGTTGATATGTATTACTTGTAATTTAATTAATTTTCCCCAAATTACCCTAGATTGCATCAGAAAATTACTACCCAAGCCAAGTGTGGTGGCACAGGCCTGAATCTCAGTACTCCTGTAAGCACAAGCCTCAGAAGGGTCAAGAGTTTTAGCCCATCCTGGGCAAATCAGCAAACCAGCAAGACCCTGCCCCAGAGTAAAACTTTTTAAAAGTGCCAGGGATTTAGTGCAGCTTGAAGGCCCTAGGTTCAATCCCCAGCACCACCAAAAACAGAATAAACAAGATTAGCTAGTCTCGGATTTTTCCTATCAGCTGCAGGCAGATCATTATCCTTAAAACTTGCCCTTTACCCCAACTACAGATTCAGTCATTAAAGCCTGTCCATTGTCACTTTACTCTCCTGTAAGAATCTACACTCAAACACATTCAACAATAAACTGTTTTGTCTTCCTTGAATTTGTAAACTATTTACTAAACACCTGAAGCCAAAACCAGGGTTACCTTGAACTCCTTCCTCTCCTCCTTTCCAGCCCGAGTAATTCAGTGAGAGATAAGGACTTCCTAAGAATGACCCACACTGTTCTCTAACTGTCATTGTAACTGTCTTGTAATATTCATCCTAGAACAATTTGACTATACATTATCTGTCATTTACTTACTCTAAGAACCCTGCGCTTTTTGACAGCATGGACCGGAGAATCGATTTCACTATTATTCTGATCCTAAAATGAATAAATAAATACAGTAAACAGATTAAGTAAAAGGTAAAGTCCTCAAGGAAAATAAATGGCTTTTACATGGCTTTTACATTATATGATTACAATGGCTTTTACATGATTTATACAGAATAACAGAATGACTCACCTCAGGAGATTTTAAAACATTTCCTTTTCGCTTTTTACGTCTTCTTAGAAAAAACTCATCTTCACTTTCACTATTTATTAATAATTGTTCACCTGTGATTTATTTAAAAAATAAATCTGGTCAGTAGAAGAGAATGCAAAATGTAATTTTATTAGTCTGTGATTCTAGAATTTATCCTAAATCTATTATAGTCTTTCTGCCTTTTTCCCTTTATTCACCTGCAGGTTGAAGGATTAAATAATAAATATGCGTGCTAAAAAAACCAACATATTAAAAGATCCTGACTTTTGTGTGTCCATGTGTGGATATACTTTTTGTATCATCACAAAATCCTCGACAGAGTATCAGAGGTCTTGTGGTGGTTTTAAGTTTGTTCTCAAATTCTTTGATAATCCTCCCTTCAAGTAGCAGATCACAGTTCCTTTCTCCATGAGCGCAGGCCAGACTTAGTGACTTGTTTCTAACAAAAGCCTGAAGTGGAAGTGAAGGTGTGATACGTATAAATCTGCCTCACAAAGGCACTGTGGCCTCACCCTTGTTTTTTCTATAGTATCAGCTGTACAGGGAGGGACCAGGTGCTGTGTTTTTCCTCTCTGTAGCCCAGGCTGGTCTATACCTCCCGGGATCAAGCATTCCATGCCGCTCAGCCTTCTGAGTAGGGCCGGGGATATAGTTCAGTGGCATAAGCGCTTGCCTGGCAAGCGCAAGGTCCTGAGTTCGGTTCCCGGTACCAAAAAGGAGACAAAATAACAGCCTTCTGAGTAGCTGAGACTACAGGTGTGGGTCACCGTCCCCAGCTACCAAATGCTGTGCTTTGAGGATATACTCAAGCAACCCTAGGCAGAAGTCCACAGAGCAAGAAACCGAAGCCTCCCGCCAGACATCTTACAAACAAACCACCTTAAAAGTCATCACCTAAGCAAGGTCGGGACTAACCAGCGCCACTCACAACTAAGCCACAACTGAATTCCCACTCACAGAAACCTTGAAAAAAATCAATGATGTTGCTTTAACTTACTAAGTTTTGGGCGAGGTTAGTCACAGTACATAACACTAGATAAGCAACATGGCTCTGAGTACCTAGAAACTGGCAGTAGCCATGACAGAAAACTAACTACAAAGGAGCTTTAGACCTAGACAGGGGCTCAAAACCAAGAAAACTTTTGAGAGTTTCTGTGAAGGCCTCAACAGCAACAAAATAACTGTAGGAAGCCCAGTGCCCACTGAGGCTACAGGCAAGAGCGGAAAAGGAAAACCTTATCAGGAACTGGAAGAAAGGAACTCCTCTAGGAAGAGTTTCAGGAAGTTTAACAACATTGCAGTTAATATGGAAAGTAGAAAATTCACCTATGAATGAGGTGATGTAGCCAAGGAGACTTTTAGACCAACTGTGTAAGGTATCTCTTGTTTCTTCTCGCTGTAAGACAAAGAGAGCAACGAAAGAAAAGACTATTAAATATAAAACAGCTGGAACTTAGTGGTTTTGAAAGTTCCCAGCCTCCTCAGGTGGCAAGCCACACTAAAGCAATCTTCTGTGTAAAGAACAGACTCAGAGGACTGCCGGGAAAATGTAATGAAGCTGTAAGATTTCACTGAAAATGCGATTAAAACCTCAGAAAGATCAAAGGTGCGGCCTCAGAGTACTGTTCAGTCAGACAAAATGCCCCTAAGTATTTTAAGAAAGATTCTCAAAGATCCTCTCCAGGCATCTTTAGAAATTATCTCCAAACATCTCAGCAAAAGCCCAAAGCAAAGAAAGGCTTTTTTCTCCCCCAGCAAAGATTTGTGCATATGAACAGTAACTAATAGAATGGACTTTCTCTGAAGATTCTGGAAAGTTCCACGAAGATTTATCAGAATTATAATAATAGAAGAAATGCAGCAGAGACAGATAGTATAAATTGAAAAGAAGCCTCTGGATCTCCAAATGTGTACCAAAAGGAAGCAGGCACAGAAAACTCATGAAAGGTACTTGTCATGAGAAAAAACAAGCATCCAAAGGATGGAAGGATGGAGGCCAGGAACACGGAGAATATTACCAAGCTCTGAGCCCTAAGGAAGAAATTACCAAGCTCAGCTCCCCTGGATTGGAGAAATATTAAGGACTAGTGCTTTCTGTGTACCGTCTATCGCTCCTCCACCCTCTGAGCAGCCATCCCAGAAGCAGGCTCTCCAAACCCAATAAACCCCTCCACAACTTAAAATCCCAGCTATAAGCACATGAGCAGTCTAAAGACAGAACCACCAGCTATGCAGCTCTTCAATCCCTGACCTGCAAGAAACTGAGATAAATGCTGTTTTAAGCCACTGAGTCTTGAGGTACTTTGTTACACAGCACTAGATAATACAAACCCATACAATTAATTTCTCCACACATTCTCTGCTACTACTGATACCTTCACCCAGACAGGTAACAGGAATGATTCCTTTTTTGTAGACAATTCAATCAGGTTTTCTTTTTTCATTATCTTGCAAAAAGCCAGATTTAAATGAAGGGCTCAGTTACAGTAACCAACCCATTTCAGGTTGTTTCCTTTTTAACTGCTTTCAAATATACACACACACACACACACACACACACACACACACACACACTTAACATGGTAAGTGATCTTAAATCCTTTCTTCCAATTAGATGGAACAAAAAGTACTAACTGTATATTTTTAATATATGTGTTCAATATAATGCACATGATTAATAGTTACATGCAATGCTAGAAAGTTTTTAAATTTTATTTTAAACTGAAAAATAGAAAAAGCTTTAATGCAGATCTGACACAAGCAGAAAAATGACTTTACCCATCAACACAGACTTAATACTGTATAGATGTATCAAAACCAATTTTGAAGGCTCACAGGCAACATACACCTACAGAAAGTAAATGTCAGAGCACATCCCAAACTATGCAGAACAGTTACAGTTTTAAAATCAAACATATCCCTAGAACTTACTTTAAACATGCTTTCATTTTAAATAGAATTTTCATGAATCACAACCTTTCATTTTAAATAGAATATTCATGAATCACAACCTCAAGAACCCAAGGACAAGATTTACAGGGAAAACTCTCATTTTATCCTACAACTTTTCTTTTGCTTGAGTCATAAATAATAAAACTCATTACGTGCCCAATAAAATTACCTTTAAATAAATTGAGTTGATAAAACTCTAATTTTTTATTCTTTTAAAAAATATTTTAAAATTTAAAAATATATATATATAAATTACAGTTGAGACTTATAGCAGAATTTAAAGGATACTGATATCATTTTAATACCAAACATCTGTCACTATGTTTTCTAGTTTTTCTGTAAATATAAAATCTGACCACAGACTTCTGGCTGTCTGGATATTTTATGGTCTGGCCTCAATCTCTAAATACGATCTTATTTCTCAAATATTTTACTAGCTAAATCCTCTACTTTAAGCTATGGCCCCAAAATCTTACATCTTCTTCCCTCTACCTTTGTTTTATCATTTTATAACAACAAAATCATCTATTCAATTCAATCTGTATATAGATTATAAATATTCCTGAGTAACCCAGACCAACACACAGTATCTGTAAAGGCTTTCTAAACTAATCTAACTCAAAATCTCATCGTCTTGTCCACTCCATAACAGCCACTGTCACCCAACTGGTAGTCACTTCCGACTCTTCCAACACTTCCTGACATCATATGTCATATGAAGGCTTGTGTTTTACAACCAAAAGCAAGGCTGAACTTATACTTCTTTGTATACTTCGTAATGTCAGCATAATACATTTCTCATGGCATGGAGATAAATATTTTCATCAGTGAGCATCAACTTAAGAAACACACAAATCAACTAACTAAACAAACACACACACACACACATTACATCATATACTGAGGAGTTACATTTGGAAAAATTACACATTTCTAAGGTAATTCTTCTGCAAACACTTATGTATTTCATTACCTTCAGCAGAACGACAGGACTGATGCTGAAGGGCTTGATCACTGCTTTTAGCCTTTTGTAGAGAAAACCCTGAGTCATCAAAAGTTGAACTCAAGGTCTCTTTAAACTTTTGCAGGTTTTTTTTCTTATCAGAATCTGGTGTCTTGAGTATTTTCTTTCTTACATTAGAAAAGGAGTTCAATGTGTTTGATTTGGAGACGGGTGTGCTCATAGCTGTTTCTTCTACTGGCAAAGAAAACTGAGAAAATCCAGGAGATAGAAATTCTTTCATTTTTGCTGCACTCAGTGCAAACTGTGGACTCTGTGTATCTTTAGCTGACGGGATAGGTATGGTTTCATTTGTAAAATTTTCAACATGATCTCTTGATTGATTCAACACATTATTTTCAACCTTTATCTTCCTCATACCTAAATACTTTCCAGACAGATCATCTACAAGTCTATTCTTATTTGCATCAGATGTATGTTCTAATATTTCATCATCAGAATCTGGACAAAATCCTAAATCAAAGGTAACAGAAAATAAATCCCTGGAGCAATCAAAAACATATTCATCACTGTTCGGTTTTTCCTCATGTGTATCTTTCAAATCTGCATGCAACGTGCAATTATGAGTATCATGAATTACTTGATCTTGGGGTTCCGAATTATCATCCAACAAAAGTTCATCAGAAATTAAGAACTGAGAGACTGGAGCCATTTCACTTACAAGAGTTTTGTCTGATACAGAAAAAGATTTGCAATTACTTTTCAAGGGAGAACGGCTCGTATCATTCAATTCTTCATTAAAATCTTCAAACAGGAGTAAACTCTCATTCTGATCCATAGACAATATTGGGAAATCATTGTTATCAACATCATGATTGTTTTTGTCAACTAAACTCTTTGAAGGCTCTGTATGAATGTGAACATGATTGTCAGATAATAAATTTTCATTTTTAATATTCTTATGTAGTTCATCTTCCCTGTCAAATAAGTAGGGCTCATCAGAAATCTTATCGTTATTTGCATCAAAGAGACAGTTTCTTTCAGAAGGCTGATTAATAATTTTAAGTGAATCCAATTCTAAATCCTGTTGAGAACCCACAGCTGAATATGACATCAAAGAGGTGGATTTACAACTGTGTAAACGCTCTGTGTGGGGTAGAAAGGGCAAATTCTCAAGTTTCGCAATTTCATATTCCAAGTCTGCGAGTCTACTGAGAGGTGGAGGAGAATGCGATAGAAATCTCTCTACATTAGCTAGTACCTCTTTCGTCAGTGTGTGACAAGGATGAAATTCATCATTTGTTCTTGATACAGAAAGCTCTTCCTCAAATGGAAGAAATAAGTTGGATGAAACAGATTTCTCATCACTGAAACTGCCATAGCCAGAATCTAAAAAACCTCCAGCAACCGAGTTAGTGGATTTATTTATCAACTGGGCCTCTGCCAGTGGTACATCTGGCTGATTAGCAACTTTTTCATTAACAGTATGTGTGGCAGCAACTCCACTGCTATCTGATGACCTTTTATCATCTGGTACATCTACCTGAAAACTAGGCTCGACTGGAGAATTTCTGCCAGTATTTAAAAAATCTGTATCACCATTATTTTCATTAGGCTGGTCCTTTTTCATTTCTTTAGAAGCTATTTTCATTAGAGAGACAATTTTAGTAGGTTTGATGTGAGTTTGTTTAAAAATTTCAGCACATCCTTCATCAGAGTCTACCACTGAGAATGAACTGGCTTGATTTATATTCTTTGTAAACAAAGATTTCTTGTGAGTAATTTTGGCAGGATTCCCAGGAGTTCTGAACGTTGAGCTAACATCTTCCATTTGTAAATACGATTTCATTTCCAATTCATAGTTGCATTCACCCTAGAATCAAGTAACATGCAAAATCACGTGAAGACAAAATAAAACAAAGCAAAAAGAGACAATTCTTTTCTTTGCTGTTCTGTTTTGGTGATGGTAACGGGGAATAAACTGAGGACCCTGTCACTCTGTGTGAAGCAACAAAAAGCCAATTCTAAAAGATTAATTTCTAGGGCCAGGGATATAGCTCAATGGCACAAGCACCTGCCTGGAAAGTACAAGGTCCTGAGTTCGATTCCTAGTACCAAAAAAATAAAAATAAAAGATTAATTTCCAAGCCAGGCATGGTGGCGCACACCTGTAATCCCAACACTTGGGAGGGTGAGGCAGGAGGATCATTGTGAGGTCAAGACCAGCCTGGGCTACAAAGTGAGCTGAAGGCCAGCCTGAACTGCACAGCAAGACCCTGTCTCAAAAAAGACCAAAAAAAAGAGATTAATTTCTATGTTAAAATATTTTCTAGCCAGGTATGGTAGTGCACTGAACGCCTGTAATCCCAGCACTCAGAAGGCTGAGGCAGCAGGATCACTGTGAGTTTGAGGCCAGCCTGGGCTACAAAGTGAGTTTAAGGCCAGCCTGAACTGCAGAGCAAGACCCTGTCTCAAAAAGATTT